GGGTGGGTGTAAAATAAATCAAGTGCATTATGCAGCTATCATGCTATATCAGTGCCTGCTAGGGGTCCATCACTGCAGAGTCCAGGGGCAGTTCACTTATCAGGAGAAGGCAAAGCAATTAATCTGCCCAGAAAGTTATGCAAATCAACTGGGGAGTGGAAGGGGGTGTTGACATATTTCTTGAGCCTCAGGGTCAGGTTTGGGCAGAAGGTGTGATTGCAACTTTCCTGTCATTCTCAACAGAAGTAGGGAGAAAAGTTTCCATCAGTGAGTTACCTTTTTACTCGGTTCTCACTGAATGGTTTGCCACATGTTTGCGGCTTACTGATGCATATGCCATGAAAACCAACTGCTGCTTCTGTCACGGAAGTGACTGCATTTGTCCAGTCTGGGAACATAATACTGTGTCACTTTCATGACAATTGCAAGCAACCAGCCTAGTTCAAATGGAGAATACGATTACCATTCTGGCCCCTACTGATTTTTCATCTGAGAAGAATGAATCTGGTTTTAGTAAGAGCCCATGTGCAGTCAGCCAACACTTATAACACCAGCAGGTATCTGGTTTCGTTTTGATGCAGAGCAGCAGCAATTCAGCTTTGTTTCTGGAAGCCCTGTGATATTCCAGGTCCAGCGATGGGCAGTGTGGTGCAGAAGCATTGCTTATTTGAAGGAAGCAGAGAGATCTGTAAGATCAGGGGAAAGGAAGCAAGCGTTCCCAAATTCTTAGCCTACGGTTCTCAGAAGCGGAAGGCTTTTACGAGTTTCGTAGCCTTTGGCACAGAGTGCCGGTGTTATTGAAAGTGTCCCCTTTTCCTCTGACTGAGCGGCATTCATATGTGCAGCAGTCTGTGGGGAGCCGCTTGTCTTAGTTCCAAAACCAAAAGCATTGGTGGTAGGATACAGCAGTAGACTGCTCATGTCTCTGCATCATAAAAGTCATGAGTGGACATGCTGCAGGACATCTGGATTCTGGTGCAGACCCCATCATGTACCTGCTTTCCTGCTGAGCCACTCTTTGTATGTTTGTGGTACCGACACTATTCAGCAAGTAGCTCAGCAGAAATGTAACAGCAACTGCTGTTGTGATGTTGGACCTTTTAAAGCTGTTTGCTTGGACTGACTTCCCTCCCTGCCATTTGGAGTTGTGAAAGAACCAGTTGCTGCTATAGACCAGGTTCTTCACCCTTGCTTTGTATTCTAGCATTTAATGTGTACTGGTGTTTGGGGGCCTGTGTACTGCCAGCTGTGGTAGTCGCAGTTCAAAGAATGCTAGGCTCTCCAGAAAGCTCCTTGCAAGCACTCCTTGCTCTCTAGTTATTTGAACAATACTTACTGCAGTATTTTGGCCCCTCTGGAATTGTGTCTTTTATCTTTTGCATCACTCATTCCAGCAGTTGTCTCCAATTCAGACAGGCTGCAGTACTGCCTTTACAATCATCTCTCTTGTAATTGTGTTGTAGAAGGAGCAGATAACATTCCAGGAGCAGTAACGTGGGAAGTGAAAGAAGAAAACACCATCTACCTGAAGTGGTCAGAACCAGCAACCCCGAATGGGTTGATACTCATGTATGAAATCAAATATGGGCAACATGGAGAGGTGAGGAGTTGGAAGTTTTTATACCCCTCGGTTTGAAGTAATGACAGGCAGAGACACCTTATTTATTCTGTGGTTTTACCAGGCCTAACAGGCTATCCAGGGGCAGACAAGACCAGGGTGAGAGTGCAAGTGGATGTAGTGGTTTTGTTTGAGTTTGTACTTAAGGAAAGTCCTAGCATGGCATTAAGAGTTTCTTTGTCTTACCACTCAGGTTGTGGGCACTTGTGGTTACATGCCACATCTCGCAGTAGCAGGAAGTTTAGCATGATATAACCCAGACCTCCCGCTTCCTGGGCAACTGGTCTCATCACTAAGTGGCAAGGCAAAGAATGGTCTTGTGCGTTCTGCTCAAGGTGTGACTTATGGCCCGAACAAAAAAGTGGCTTTCTAGCCTGTCTTGCAACCTGCCTGCGAGACATTTTTGTGCCTGTTTAACAGATGGGTAAACTAAGGCATTGAAACATAAAGCGTGCTGTTAATGGCAATAGTTCTGACCATAAAAAACCGTAATCCTGTTTCTTAGTTTGCAGACATAGCCATTAGTGGATTCCAAGTATCCCTCCTTTGAAAAAAGAGCGTTCTGATTTCAGTTTAAGAAGCCAGCTTACATCATGAATGCATGCAGCCCAGCAGCCTGATTGGGTTTCTGTGAATTACAAGCATAAAAAAATATTTGTATGAACTGCAAACTGCTCTTGTTCTTTCAGGAGAAGCGGGAATGTGTTTCTAGGCAGGAATACAAGAAGCTTGGAGGAGCAAAACTAACCCATCTGAACCCTGGAAACTTTTCTGCGAGGGTGCAGGCCACTTCTCTGGCTGGGAATGGGTCCTGGACTGAGCCGGTGTCTTTCTACGTACAGCCCAAACGTAAGAAGAAAGTGATAGGATGTGTTTAGCCTTGTATCCTAAGTTTTTTCCCCTTTTTCCTGTTGTTTACGTGTGTAATTGCAGGGAATCGGAACATCCTCCTTATTCTCGCAGCGTGCTTTCTCACTGCTGAAAACTTTAAGAGTTGATTCTGTGTTCTCTTTACTGGGAAATTCCTATGTATGGAAAGAATATTTGAGTCTAGGTCCTGTTTTCTACTCCCCTATAAATACATATATATAAACCCACATATTAGAGAGGTAATGAGGGTATACAAACACATTGTTAAGAGTAATGTGTTGTCAGTTTGATATACTCATTGTGAGTGGAAAAATAGTTTTGGGATAATCACATGGCAGTATGACCCAATGAAATCTGGAACTCATGTTGCCATTTAGCTAACTTAACCTATGCTATAAAGTGTGTGAGAAACAGCTTTAAGAGCTTCTTTTCTTGCTAAAAGACTTCTTCTCCTTACCACCTACCTCATGTCATATCAATATCAGATAATTCATTGATGTGAGAGGGAGCAATGCTAAACAGTAGAATTTATTTATGAAGGTGAACAGACTGGTAAAAACAAAAAAAAAAAGTTCCATCCTGTGCTCATGTTTTCAAACCCCAAAAAGCTGCTTGTTTTCATACATCTGCATGGGTTTTTTCCCCATTTTGTTTTTAGTTAGAAGATTGTTGGCTCAACAGACAAAATACTGTTGAGCTTCTCTCATTCCTATACGTATATAAACATAAATAAAATTTGCTGGAGTTGGAGGTGAACTTAAAGCAATGAAAATCTTTCTGTATGCTGTTTCTAAATATATATGGGTAATAACTTAAAGGAATAAGTGTTAATCTTTAAAGAACAGAAGCACTTAAACATAGCTAGCAATAACAGAACTCCATTAAGCCAGGAGACTGCTCTCTTAGGACATCAGTACTCTCCTCTTTGTTTGATTTCTCGTTCTCCAGTCATCTTTTGTTAGTGAGTCTTCCTGAATACATTTTTTTTACTTCAGCTAGAAAAATGGAGTAGCTTGAGTTTGGAGTTTGGCAATATACTGCATGCTTGAGAATGCTCTGGTGCTGATAGAAATTCTGTATTGACCTGAATAAAAACATCATCTTTCTTGTCTGTTGCAGCAGCAGAGTATGGGAACTTCTTGCACTTGATCATTGCGCTCCCCATAGCGGTTCTGCTGATCATTGGAGGGCTGATGATAATGCTGTACGTCTTTAACAAAAAGAGGTGAGTTCTAGCTCTTTTGACTCTAAGTGGAAAGAAGCAATTCAGTGCCCCCAAAGAGGGAGTTTGATTTTGATGCCAGGATGGCATTGGAAGGATTACATAGCAGAGGCTACAGCAGGTTCTCTCTAGCTGACAAGAAGAGAAGGTTTGCATTTACTAGTGAGCACCTCTTAGCTGCATGAAATGCGGAAAGGGGTTTTTAATTTCCTTTCTGTGTTACAAGGTCTTTGGGAACATATCTATTGCGATAACAGTGGCAAACAAAGAGAAGCCAGTCATTTGGATCCCTTTCCAAACCACAGACGTTTGTTTTGATTCAGAGTCATTCGATTTCTTGCAAATTCAAAGCAGCAAATTCTAACAGTTTTTTAATCCATTTTGAGCATGCCAACAAAACACTTATTTTCCAGGCAGCAGGTGGTCGGTCTGAGAGGCTGTACAATTGATCTTTCTTTATTTGGTTTCCACAACCTGGAAATGTTCTAGTTAAATAAAGGAAACCTAAGGAAACTGCATAAAATACACACCAACTCTTAATATGCTTTGACAGCCTTGCAGGTTGCATGTGGAGACTTGCATTATCTTTCTGCCCCTATCTAATAGACTTATTTGGGGTGTTCCCGTTAACTACTACTTACATATACAAGAGACACTTATAAAATGAATGTATTCAGGGATATGCTTTACTCTAGCATACTAGGGATAGAGTGACCCCTTCTTTGACTTCTCACTAGCCAAAGCTCCTGCCAACTCATGCTCCTTGTTGCTTTCTTCTGGCTTGGAGAGCAAAACATCTGGTCTCCTTTCCCAGAACCTTGGCAATTTATCAGTCTGGTAGTTCTAGGGAATGAGGCTAATTTTATTTATTAATTAATTCATCAAAAATTTTATTAATAAAAGCACCCTAACCTCAAACAGTTTAGAGTTCTGGGGAAACTAAAGCAACGAAAGCAGTAGAAGATCATAAAACAGGTCGCATACAAGTTTCCTAAAACCTTAACCCTATTCCAAGCATAAGCATTCTCCTCCACAATAGACAGTATGCAGTGCTGTGAGCTGATCTTGGGCCCAGCTCTCCTGCATGCTACATCACCATCCAGTCTCAGCCCTGAGAAGATCTCTTCATTCTGTCATAAAAAGATGTGTAAGAACCGGCTCACTATCCGCTCTTCTGTGCAGATGGGATGTAAAGTTGACTGATAAAGTGCTGTGGGTCTTCCAGGAAGGCTGTGGCAAAGCAGAGGTGGTCTGATGGGGAGTGTAGATGTACGTCTGGAGAACAAGAGTGTCCTCTTTCATTAGACTGATGTTGTCAGTTCCACTCTCGCCTAGAGAGGTAGGGGTCACGTAATGGAGCAGACCATGAAAGACTTGAGTAGGAGGCAGGTGGAAATTTAGTGGGGGTTTTACGAACGGGGAAAAAATATACGTTTCATGTGCTTAACAGGAACAGTGACAGATTGGGAAATGGAGTGCTGTATGCTTCTGTGAACCCTGAGTACTTCAGTGCTTCTGATGGTGAGTATGGCCTTCTAATGCTTTTACTTGCATATACTGTGTTGTGAGAGTCAAGCTTCATTTTGGGAGTTGCAGGTCCGTAAAAGTGATAGAGTAAGTCTAAAGGCATCAGCTTTCCTTCGGGATTCTCAGCCACTTGCCTAGGTTTGCCGTTTGGATGGTCTCACCAAAATTAAAATCATTCATGAAAACCTGTGTCATACTACTCTATATACATGTGTAACCCCTTCAGACAACTCTAAATGCTAGTTTCAGAGCACTTGTTTGTTTAAAAAAAATGAAGAAAGACCTTTCACATGTGGAGATGCAGGCAGGCAGGCCTGTGAGACGAGTGCTTCACGTGTTGAAATGTTATGAAAGCAAGCACAGATGCATAATGTAATCTATATCCCTTTGTGTTAATACCCTGTAGTATAAAGACGACTGTTGTTCCAAAGCTGACAAAACAGTTCTTTTTTGAGCTAGTTTCAACTTGATCTTGTATATTTGTAGCTGGTTCTTGAGTAATTTTATCTTTGAAGTCTTTCTATTCTGTTAGTGTCTAAAATGCCCAACTGAGATCAGGCTATTCATCCCGCTTGTGAATGTTGTATGAGCGACATGAGGTGTAGGCGCTTTTAAGGAGAACTTTGTCAGTCTCCAACCTTTTATCAGTGTAAATGGACTGGAAGAAGGGTGCCAATGTCACTGTTTCGATGTTGGAAAGAAGAGGGCAAAGCAGAAAGTCCTGGGTGATGGACCTTCCTGACTTAACGGGGAATATAGATTTTCTGTTTAAGAGAAACCTTTCAGTTGCTCCACACAGCCCCAGAAGCAAAAAAAATTCTCCCATGTTAATGGTGAATTTGAGAGAGCCAGTACATAAAACATTTGTATTGCTTTAGGCTATTGAATCCGAAGCCTGCTTTGGATACGTGCACCTGCAAAAACTCTATTTCCTGCTGCCTGATTTCATAGTTCTGAAAGAAGGTAGAGGTGAGAGCGAAATTGGGGAAACTTTCCTGTCTTTGGGTGTTTTGGGAACACCCTGATAACCCTGCGCAGGACAAAGCTGCTGCAAGGGCTTGTTGTCAAATAGCCGATGGTCAGGAAAGTTGACCTCAGAGTGTTTGCAGCTTGTACCTGGCGAGTGATTTTACTTTTAGATCATGCCCTTGCATATATTTCTTCTGAATAGAACTGGCAAAATTTCAGGATTTTGGATTTCTGGGAAATTTGAGTTTATCTCCGAGTTGGAATGAAACCAATTTTCCCTTCAATTTCCAAAGAAATATGGTAATTTTGAAAATTTCTGCTTCAGAAGCACAGACATAGCGTTACTCAGTGGAAGCCACCTCCCCAGGGGCTCCTTACAGCTGCCAAATTGACATGCACAATTCTTGTCCGTCTCACTACTTCCCATCCCGGAATCGCAGCAGGAATCTGCGGCCCAGAGAGCCAGCTGGCCCGGCTGTCTGGAAGTCCAGAGCTCCCCAGCTCTGGGGCAGTTGGCAGGGCTGGGTTGCCCTGGAGCCATGAACCCTGGACGCCTGGTTCCCTGCCAGACAAGCTTGTCAGAAACCTGAAGAGCTCTAATGATGACCTGCCTTTGATTCACAAAGCATTCGTCAAAACATGCAGCCTCTGTTCCCACAAATTGGTGTTTTCCAAAAGAAAATGTCTGATTTCATCCAAGAATTCCTGCTTTCGAGGAACCGGCAGCAGACAAAGGAAGAGTGAGCAGGCTCTGGGGATGGCACTTTGGATGAGCTCCTTAGCCCTGAGTTTACCACACGCTGTGCAATAAGTGTAGGGCAAAGCAGGGTTTGTGCATACCTATAAGCAGTGTGTACATGCCACAGTGCAGGTTAGAGTATTGCCCAGTTCATAGTGGGGGGAGTGCATCAGGTCTTCCAAGGAGTCTGAGGCATCAGTTCATCTAGCTAAGCCCTGAAGAGGAAATGCATCTCTGCAGGAGCTGGGTTCCCCGGAGCCTCCATAAGCTATTTCAGCAGACCCCTTCCCATTGGTGTCTTTTGTTGCAGTAGCAGCAATTCACCAGAGGGTCTGTTGACATTCTGGCTGAAATCTTTGGTTTCTGCCGCCTCTAATTGCACTGATTTGGAGCTAGTGCCCGTGTGGCCTTTTCCCTTGATGACTGACAGGCAGCAGCAGCAGTGGCCCCTTGGAGCCGAGATGTTCCGAGGTTTTCTTGCCTGCGGCAATAATTCTTCCCAGCAGCGAGCTTCAGTGGTCTCCTGTCTGCTTTGTGTCAAAGGGGCACTACAACAGTAAGGCCCTGCTTTTATAGGAGCACTGAGCTGTGTGTGAGATCAGAATAGTTAGCTATGCAAAAGGTGTGCTGGATCAGAGAGTCTGTTCCCCTGTGGTTAGGAAATCAGTCCCCTGATAGTGGACTTGCCATGCACTAAATTCACACAGCACTTGGTGAAGCAAACTTTGTAGATTGTTTGATGCTCTGTGGAGGAATCTGGAAGCAGTAAACCTCGGGAAAAGCTCATACTGTTAGGGTAGAGACAGATGTATCAGTTCTATGGACTGCAATTTATGCTAGTTATAATGCAACAATCATTACATCTGCAGGATTCTGGAGCAATACAAGTGTAGCAAAACCATTGCAACTTTAACCCTCTTTTCTCCTGGGTCATGTGCACCCATTTGGCATACTGGTGTTGCTACAGGAGCTTGCAGACATAAGGGTTGCATCATAACAACTGATGCCAACTCCCCTTCTCTTAAAGCAGTTAATGGTGGCTTCAGAGCTCTGTCCACACTACTCAGCTTTCCACCACAGTTCCTCATGCTGAGTTTGTAGGCAGTAGCTCAAACTACACATTTTTCCTTTTGCAGGGGCTATAGTTACATCTCACCAATTCTACCAAGCACCCCCCCCCCCATGCCAGCCTTTAAGATTTAGGTTGGTAGCCATCAAAGAATTAGTTTCCAATAGAATTTAAATGGGCATGAAGTTTGGGGCCTCTTCAAAATGTCCTGTTGCAGAAAAGCAAGCTTGTTAGTTGTCAGTTTTTTGGGACGAAAATCTTGTTTCTTTGACTGCTGGGTCTGAGGGATTTGCTGAGGGAGGAAGGAAGATTCTTGAATCGGTGGGTACCCAGTAAATGTTTGAAGTATGTGCATTCCCTGTGAAAGTCTTTGGAAACCATTGCATGTTACTGAACTGTGGGGGTTGAGTGTCTTGTAGCCATATCCTGGCATGGCTGTGTGTGGAACGGCATTGACGGCTCTCTTTGTTTCTAGTGTATGTTCCCGATGAATGGGAAGTGCCTCGCGAGAAGATCACCATGTGCCGGGAGCTTGGGCAGGGCTCCTTTGGAATGG